ATATCAATAATCAATAGATGCCATTGATCCAATGATCAATCAAATGAATGCAAATGATCGTACGATACAGTAAATCCGTAATTCCATGCACGATCAGGACATTCATAGCGATTGGCAGATCATTCAATCGGTTTACTAGACAGAGCACAGAACTGCTGGCTTGTTGCTGTTGTAGAATCCGTATTGCTGTTGTAGATATCTATACTGTTGGTTCTAATCAAGAGAAGTCGTCACTCTTTGCCCGTCGGCGTGATCCGTCGGCATATAATCTTTACTAATCCCTCCATGAATCCATGATCCATGATCTATGATTTAAAGGAAAGCCCTGTTCGGCCCCCATCTGTACAGTCAAGTCTATCCAACCAACGTTAAAACCATGTTCCACTTGTCTTTCAGTATCCAGTAATCAGGCATTCAATAATCATCGATAATCAATGGCAAAAATCATATTAAAGCCAATCTAAAACAATCATCAATCATAAGTCATGCCACATTAATCAATTCAATCTATAATTCAAATTCGGAAATCATACGAAAAATCGGGCAGGCGAACGTCAGTCGGTTCAATTTACAACAAAAAATCCTGCAAAAGACACAATTACCAAATCTTTCCAAAAATTACGACAAAGATCCAATAACATCAATATACAGACTATTATCCTATAGAACCAATCAATCAAGTCCTGATGAATTTTCTTTCGATTAAAATCGGTGATCAAGTTCGACTTGGTAAAATCTTACGTAGAAAACACTTCAAATCGTGTGCAATATCTATCTATTAACAATATCAAAAGTTGTTTGCGGTGAAGTTGTGCCAAATCCAGAATCACGTCGAAAAGTCGACTACGAAACACAAAACAAATCATAACTCGGTCAAACTCATATCTTTGAAAAAACAGAAATAGGGTTATCGGAGTCATTACCACGAGATCCTTCACTTTTTCCCAACAGCAGCGTCGGACGAAAAGCGCTCGCGGCATCCAAAACCACAAGATTCCTCTTTTTTCGCTTTCTCTCTTTCTCTCACTCCTCAAATATCTGATTTTATAAAAATGATTTTCTCTCTCCTCAAAACGACAGATTTTCATTTTCTATAGTCGGATTCGGCCCGGCCGATCCCAGATGTCCTAGGACGATCAGACAAAAACGATCGGTCCTGGACGACTCCCAGAACTATTCTCAGGCCGATATTTTCTAGCAGTACCGATCCGCCTGGACGATTTCCAATCGTCCCTGGACGATCCTTGAGAAGGAAAAAAATCCAAATCAAAGAGAAACGAGTAAGGGAACTGTAGGTCTCACAGATGGACGGATAAGAGTGAGAGAGAGGGCCAGAGTATGAGAGGAGATGAGGGAGGCTTTAAGTATTTCCAAAAGGAGAGCGTTCCAAGGGACTTTGGGAAAAATCAAATAGTAGGGGGATAGAAAAATTCGGCCAAAGAGGTAGTGGGATTTGGAATTATTCCTAGAGAGGGTGGAGGGATTTATGAAATAAATCAAGAAGGATTTAACTGGGGGGTGGGGGGGCATCAAGAGGGAGGAAGGATTAAATGCAAGTATTAATGCTTGCGTAATTTTGGTTTTAGGAATTAGGAAAGAAACTAATTAAATCCAATTTGAATTTGAAATTTAAATAGATTTAATTTAGGAACTTTTCTAAAATAGATTTAGTAATTTATGAAGGATTTTAAATTTCAAAATGATTGAATTTGAATTCCAAAATCTATCCAAATTATGTCAATCCAAATTAGGCAATGGAAAGCAATGGGGAGAGGGGATCTAGGGCCAGCGGGTTGGATGGGCTCGGGTATGGGGCCGGCGGCTAGGTGGGAAGTATCTGGAGTTTGGTCGAGTAAAGGGAAAGGGCTTTGGAAGGGAGAAGGCCTTGGGTGTGATGTTGGCCGGTGGTGGTGAGAGGAGAAGGAAGATATAAGAAATAAAACCACGAACCCGACTCGTCTAGGTTAGTGGGTGATGCGCAATCCTCCCTCTCCTAGGGATTTCTCTCCGATTTCTCATGCTCTCACAAGAACTCATGCAAGGGGAAGAATTATTTTAATCAATCATTCATTAACCTTAAAAGAAGAATAATAGGGCTATAAATAGCCTCATATAAAGACTCAAAAAATAAAATGACGACAATGCCCCTAGGGCTTACATACGACCTCCCTTAATAAAAGGGTACAACGGAAAACTAATAAAGCAAATACAATATGACATCATAAATAAAAATACATAAAATAACTCAGAAATACAATGACTCAATCGTGACCATAGATCAACAGCCACGTCTCTGATAGACTCTCCACGATCTGATGTTCCCATCATATACACTATGCAAAAGGTACATCTTAATGTAAATAATCCTAATGAAAGCACAAATATGCCTATAAAAAGGCAAAAGAAAAAAGTAATAAAAATGTGAAATAAAAGAGAATATCCCTCATAATACAAATATATTATATTAATCAATATTATAAATTCCAAATAAATATTAAGCATATATGATAGTATTAGTAAAGTAATAAAATAATTATAATAGCTCTAACAACTTCCCACAAACTGACAATGCTACAACAAGGAGCATCAAAATTGATACATATCAAGCTAATGATCAAGGAAGTCCTATTCAAATTATCGTTAATAAAAGCCTAGTTGGACCTTCAAGTGTTAACTCCTTCAAATGATTAATTAGTTGCTTTAATAGAGCTGTTTTAACTCTTGTATTATTCTGTATTTTGAAAGTTTAGAGGGGTTTTGTGCAAACTATACCAAACCTGCCTATTTAAAGGCCGTGATAATAAGAAAGGGGGCATAATTTGGTTGATTAATTAAATGAATTTGTTTCTTAATTGTTGCTACCCTTTGGACCCCTCTTGGAGTCTCCAGGACCCCCCTTCTTCCTCCAAGTCTCAGCCGAGACCTTCTCCCTCTCTCTCCCCTCAGCCGCAGGTCTGTCTTGGAGAATCAAAGATCCGCGACGTTCCAGCTCTCCAATCGTCCAGACCAAGCACCGTTCCTTCTCTTCCTTTCCCTTGTCATTGTCCACAGCTAACTGCCAGGTTCGGCCAGCCAGCCTCCCTACCCATTTCTACTGCAAGAACAGTAGCCTATGCTTTCAAGAACCGGGTTTTCTTCCCTCCATCCTATCAAGTTTGCTGCCTCCTAGTTGTCCAGCCTCCAGTTCAATAGCAAGGCCTTCAAGAACCAAGTATTCTTCCCTCCATCCCGCCAAGATTGCTGCCTCCCATCTGTTCAGCCTATGATTTTCTGCTGCCCACGGCTGACTACTCGCATAACTAAAGGTCACTGGTTCTTTAACCTTCAAGATCCCTTTAGATTTTAGACTTCATTAAAAATACATAATTCCAAAACTCTCTCAACTCTCAATTCTGTAAAAACCGCCACCAAAAACCTCTAGTTCCCAAGTAATCTGCATCGACCCATGGAAATTTAGTCCAGGAGTTTTCTTAATTAAAGCCATATTCTTTATTTGCCCTAAATTACTGGTAAGATCGTATCAGAAATTTTATATAATATAAGTAGAATAGAGAGATCTATGCCAAGTGTTGTTTAACAAATTTTCAAAATTGACGATTAGGGGTGTTCCCTAGAAAACCAAGAACAATTAAAAGATTGACGATGGACAAACCCTTGTCGAGATCAAAGGTGATGAAATTATCGCGAGATACAAGATCCTCTAAGAATATTCATAGGATCCTTAAGAGATCTTGACAAGATCTTTAAAGGATCTTCACGAGATCGAAAAAAAAATCCTCATGTGCTCTTCAAGATAGGAGGCAAAGGCGAAAAAGTTAGCGAAGCTACAAATATCCAAGTTAGAGAGAGAATTAGGAATGCGGGGGCCGACTTGCAAGTTGAATTGTAGTAAGGCGAGTAAGGCAAGAGCAAATGTATTGTGAGCAACAAGTGAATCCTAAGCAAGCACATAAAATGAGTGAATCATAGTGAGGCATGGGTGGGAGAAGAGGTCCATGCAACAAGCGAAGCACAGGCACGGGAATTGCGAAGCAGTTAATTCTAGGCATGCGAATCACGAGCAACTAAATCCACATGTGACACAGTATTAAGAGGAGCTTTTTATAATTAATTAATTTTTTGAAGATATGTTGTCTTTGGTTTTCCTTCTTAGAGGTAATTTAGTAATTAATGGGTCTAAGTGTTATTTAGGATAACTTGCCCATAAATATGCCTTTCTTTAAAGACTAAAGAGGGTTATTTTAGAGTTAAATTTCAAATTGTCTTGACAATTAAGAAGGCATAAAGGGTGGCTCAAACATCATGTCAAAAATTATGAAAAAAAAAAAACTACATCTTTATTTGAATGGTCCTAATGCTAATTGAAACATGCCTATGCAAAATTAAAGAAAAGAGAAATAAAGAAAGTACAATAAAGGATAATATCCTTCAAAACAAAGATATATTACAATAATTAATACTATAAATTCCTAATAAATATTAAGCATATATGATAATATGAATATGGTAACAAAAAATTTCTAATAAAGCTAACACTCATCAAGAGCAAAAAATAAAATAGAATAATACATAAATTAGACCATCACAAAGCAAGCTTCAACTTGTGGAGAAGGGTTGGAGGAATCAATTGCACAGTCAACTTCCTACTAGTCAAGATATACAACTGGAAGCAGACCCTCTAAAACCATACCAAGATCCAAAGCAGATACTCATTTTTCACCAATAATTTCAGTCAATATGCCATCCAATACTTTCTAACCCAAACCTCTCTGCCCCCTGGCACCATATAGCCGGGAGTGCAAAAACGATGAATCTCTAAGCAAGGGGCAAATCTTTCTCATGTAACCTAATCTTCTAACCAGAACATATAAGCTGCTCCGAGGAAATAAAATTTCCAAAAACAAAGACGAAATTCCACCGAATGACTGACTCGATTGCTTTACCATTCGATGAAATATAATCTCAAATTCATAGAGAGAGAAAGAGAGAGGGAGAGAGACCTAGAAGAGAGGAAGGCGAGGAGGACCATAGGAGGTACGAGACCGGCTGAGAGTGCCTTCTCGATGTACTTCCAGGCGAGAGGGACGTCGTTGGCCCAGCACAAGTAGGAGACCAACACTTGAGCAAGCTCCGGCGACGGCGACGCCACACCTGCCGAGGCCAGAGCTGCCGAGAGCTGCACTGCCCAATCCACCGCATCCGTTCCCTTTTCTTGCGCAGCCTTCGTGTACTCCATCACCCCCGACCATTGCACCGCCATCTCGTCCCGCATTATCTCCGCCGGCGCCGTTCGCATGGCGTCAACGCATCCCCAAAAAAATCCCCAACTGCTTCTACTGGCTTAGGATGTTTGGTGTGAACGAAGACGGAAACGATTCGGAGTTCTTTTGTCGTCTTATTATAGCATGATAGGAGCGTAGCTAAAGAGTGACAGCGATTGGGGGTGCGTTAGGTGAAGCAAAAGCAGTAAAGCACTTATTTTTTCTATTATCTAATTTTTGTGGTCATGTAATTTGAGTTTTTTTTTTGGATGTGATTTAAGAAAGTTATTTCTCAAATTAAAAAAAATTGATTAAAATGAATATAAAATAACTCTTTTGTTAACTAAAAAAATATTAGTGTTAAGGCTTCCAAAAAAAATGTACACCATAAAAATATAATTTAAAAAATAATAATGATGAGCGATTACTCTTTAAATGTCAGCATATATATATCATTATATTTATAAATCAAGTAACATCCCTTCAATTATATCAGCATCCAGAACCTAGTTCTTAGGGTCACATTCCTAAGGGCGTACAATTCTTCATGAAACCTATTATATAGCACATTTATAACAATTATTTGAGCATTTTTATTTGCCTTTTGAGAACGTTGCCACCTACATAATATATCTTTATAAAAATTTAATAACTTAAGAACAAGTGAGCACTCATCAATCCACAAAATATAAAATAAAGCAATTAAGAAAATAATTTAAGCTAAAATAACGACCACATCATTACATATGCAAAAGGTAACAGAAAAAAAATAAAAAAAGTTATCCTATCCTATGATGCCTATGAAAATGTGTTATATCCAACACTTAAGTGTGTGCAAAAATTAGTGTACCTAACTACTCCAAATTAGATGAGAGGTTCAAATTGCAAAATCAAGTTCTTATTGTTTAATTTATTAGGCCTCAAGTTTTTTTAAAGTGGTTAGTTATTTAGGATGAATTAATTAATATTTGATTTTAAGGTTATAATTATGATTATTAAGTTATAAAGAGTCCAAAGATATGGACCCTAACATATGCTAAGGTTATAAAGAATTGAGGGCATATGACTCATCCTCAATCCTACACCTAATCAAGGATTAAATAATTATCTGATGACAATGCCAGTTAATCCTTTCTTGGTCATCTAAGACTAGGGGCAAGACCAATAAGTGACACGCTAAGGTGATCCTAGTGCCCACCATAAAAAGCAGAAAATATCATAGACTTCCTATGTCTAAGATAGATTTATTTTTAGAGGTTGACATGAGAATAGAAAACTCACTATATATACATAATTTATATAGATCTTTTCCTCTTGACTTAAGAGGTATGTGGTATTGTCATAGTGAGCTCGAGGATGCATGAAATCTCCTCATGATACGTAGTCCTACAGCTCAAAGTAATATAGCCTATATATCTTTCACATATTAGGCGGAAAATATGTAAAGATGAACATAAATCTGATATGGGTCATGGCACTATGGTTGCTCTTCCAACGAGTTCATTTGCTTGCTTAAAGTCAAAGGATTTTTAGTTAGAAGTTTGATTTTATTGTCTTAGTATTTTACTTAAGTGTTGAAGAATTCATGAGGGATGATTTCATACTTTTATTTTGGTTTGGCTTTACCTTAGTTAGCATAGACATTTACTCATGATTAAGTTAAGGGTTCATAAGATTTTATGTTGCATTTTTATGAGTTTTAGTTGATTAGTTATGATTTTTTAGAGTTGTAGTTTTGTTAAGGGATTTTTGTGATTTTATAGGTTTACGTGAATTTGTTTAGAGGTTTTATGATTTTTATTGAATTTAACTGTCAATTAATTCATGGTGTTGTCATAGTGGGCATGAGGACGAAACATTCTTAGGACACATAGCTCCGCAGTTCAAGATAGTCAAGTCTATAAACTTCATTGACAGGTTGTGTTGTTTTAAAAATTTATATACTTGTTACATTTTATTAGTTATTTTAATCATTAGAATTTTTGTGAGTTTGATATGCATTCTTATTCTTCAAATTGAATATGATAGAGGCTATAAAGTTTTGATTGTGGGTGACTTGTTACTGATTATTTAAGTTAAGTGATGATTGTCCTTGTCAAACAAAGGCCATGAGATTTATTTCATCCTTATTGGGACTAACTTAATATAGTCTCGTAAGCTCGGATTATCAGATAATCATCTAATTGTAAATAAATTTTATGTTTGTTACATAATGAAATATTTAATTTATGATTATTCTCTTTAGTTGGTTCATTATAAATTTTAAGATTGATTATAAATTCATTAGATATATTTTATATGTTGATTTCATGTCTTTTAAGTATTATCTATGTTGTTAGTTGGAGCAAATGAACTTCATAAATATAGATTATATACAAAGTTCCACCAATAAAGTTGAACACACTACCTACAAGGAGATTCATAACACAACACTCATATAAAAATCCACCTAACATGTTAGAGCTTGTATTTTACTTCATTTTACATTTTTTTTAACTTATTTATGGAAATAACACTAAAGGCTAAAAATCCCAAAGAAAATTATCATAATTGTGCCCACTTCGTGTGAAAAAATAATAATGCAAATGGCACAATGGATGGCCCTATACTACAGGCATAGGTGACCACAAAGGTCTCTAAGTTTCACAGAGGGGGCAAGTCCTAGCGAACAAGGCCAAGACTTCGTAGGTGCACTAACTAAAGATCAATTGACTAAACATCCTATCATATAGCATAGGGTGGAAAAGTAAAAACAGTTATGTGTGTACTAATATGTTGTCGTTCGACATACAATGAGGAAGTCTTAACAAGTAGCATAAATTTTACCTGACTATGGCGTGCTGGGCATATCTGCAGACCCCCAGTAAAACGTAAGAGCTTTCTCATAAGACCCCAAGCAAATGACTCACCAGCCATCAACCATACAAGACATAAGTACCTAGCTCGTAAAAAAGGTAAACACATAAAAGAAAAAAAATAGAATGAGAGTACAAATTATTCAAAGGAAAAGTAAGTAAATAAAAATCTAGTTAATAAGCAATTCAACATTTACACTTATCAAACATATACATGTCATCATTAAAATGTAAAGTAATGTGAAGGCTGGATTAATGCAAAGAGAGGCTAGCTATACATAAATTATTTGAGAGTCAGAATTGGTTGAACAGTAAGGTGTTGCAATTTATTTGTTGGACCAATTAAGGGTTCTTTAGAGCACGATATAGCCTTTTAAACGCTTATCTCTTATTTCAATTTCAATAAGTATATAATGAGTTATGGATAAAAAAATATGCTTCTTTGATTTTAATAAACTTCAATCTTAAAACTTTTAATATGTTGTAGTATATACCATTTTAAGCATTTTAATAGTAAGAAACTATAATTAATGGTTAGTTTTTTCTATACAAATTTATGTGCATATTATATAATGTTGACATTTCAAGTAGTGGTAACAAAAGGTTTAAAATGATGTTCTGGATGTCATCTTGAAATGATATTTTAAAAAGACAGTTAAGCAAGTAGGCATTTTACACCCATGTTAACATCTAAATGTTGTATACCTGATAATTCTTGCATAATAGTCTTCATGTCTAATGCTATAATTCTATGTTGAAATGTTCAAATTGTAAGTTCATAGCATGCATATGGAAGAGATTATGATAAAGGAAAATGTAAAAGTGCACTATCTTTGATGTTACAAGAGCCCTGCATATTCTAATATGGCCTTATCCACCTCGTGTGGATGCAAGAGAGATTTTAGCCCCACTTACTGTATGCTATTTTGAAAAATTTTCTATTTTGCTCTATTTGGCCACACTTGTTGTATATGGGTGTGAGAAGTTTAAAGAGAGTTATAAGTGAAAGTAGAGTTAATTATAAGCACACATCGAAACATATGTATAGTACATTCATGCATTACATATTTTGATAATTTAATGAGTTGAATATATTTGATATTTTGAACATATTCTAATGAATTCCAAAATTTGTATGCATATACTGATGAATTAAGTACAAGTGCATGTGATAATTTTATAATGAGAATGCTCTATTTTTTTCTAACACCTCTATAAAGTTTGTCCGTGAAAAAGTATAAATGATAGCTTTGGAAATGACTATATTTTGATAACCCTATATATAAAAACACTCCTATTAAATGTTTGAAGATAAATATTATATATATAATTAAAAAATAATAATATGTATTTTGAAGCATTGATATATTGAATAATAATAATAACAATTAAAAAACCATTGATATATTGACTTTCATATGGAGTTGCTTTCTATTAATTCTTTAGTTACAACCAGATGTTTAACTTAATATATGAATAATTTATTATTTATAATAAAATGGATATCGATATATGTAATGTGATTGCAAAAGAAGTCCATTGAGCTATTGGCGCTCATTTTGTGATATTTCTCTGATATTTTAGGAAAATGAGTTGATAAGGGCAAGTTCGTTAGGAGCAAGATTTTAAGGTGGTTTGATAATTTAGTTATTTATTTTGATGTATAGTCACCATGTGAACTAGATTATTTTATATATGCTTTTGAGGAATGAAATTGATGATACTACATGTTGTTAATGTTGTTTTGAATTAATTAGTTAGCTCTAATTTATTTTATATTGAGATTGAGAAAAAATGTTTTTAGAAATTTAATTCTTCCATGAGAACCCAGGGTATGATAGGAAGACAAAGGTAGGGGGGTTGGAAGAGGCAAAAGGTTAGGGGGAACAGAAAAAAAAATCCGAACTGAGGGATCAGGTAAACAAAATTATTGATGTTTAAAAAATTTAGACATGTTACATAGTTTTGGTTCTTAGAGTATACATTTATGATTGAAGAGAGGAATGTTGAGTTATTCATCATCGTCAAACCTATATTAAAGAAAAAGATCTAATAACAATTATATTGGTTAGTTGTGAAGGGAATTTGGATCATTCTGCTATCCCTTCCTTTCTTCATGTTGTACCTAATATCAATAGGGTGGAGAATGTTGATGATAGAAATTTGGAGTTGAGTCCCATTGGTGTTGTAGTTGGGAGTTGCTGATTGTTTGGGGGATAATGTTGTTCAATTGAATTCTGATTTAGCCTTTGGTGATTCTATTCTTGTTGAGAAGTAACATGCTCCTTTGGTTCCACCTAAGAATGCTATTTGTGTTGGTGAGGATGGAAATTTGATCGAAAATAATTGTGGTATTAACCTTATAGCTAGCCATTCTTGTGCGGATGTTGTGGCAGGTTCGAGTGATATATTTGTTGTTGTGGGCTCCGGGGATGGTGTACCTGCTGGTGGGGATATGTTAGCTTCTATTTTTCCATGTTTGTCAATCCATGAGTTGGTTGTTTGTGTTGGTTCTATTCATTTGGGGCATGTGGTTTGTGATGTTGAAAGTTTGTCTGTTAATTTGGCTTTGATTTTACCTATTAATGTTAAGTCGGACTTGTCTCCTATTGTGAATGTCTCGAAGGGAAATGCATAGTATGTTGATATTCATATTTCAGTTATGTCTAACGCAGATTTGAAAGCCCATCTAGCACGGTCTTTGAATAACTCTATTTTGGATCAATCTGAATGGTTGGATATGGATGAGTCCCTTTCCACGCCTTGTGAGGGGGAGAGTGATGATTTTGGTGACCATGTAAATGATGATATGTATAGTTTTATGGTTGGTTGTGTTGTTGATCAAGCAGTACTCAATAGTGGTGGCTAAAGACGTAAAAGTAAACCTAAGAAGAAATAGTCTTTGGGTTACCCTCTCGCTTTCGATGTCGTGGGCTTTACTAACGATTTGGACGATGATGAGGCGGCTCCCTGCTTATCACTTTTTTGGCCCGGGCTTGTTGGCAACCTTGGTGGTTAGCTATTTAGGTTCAAGACTAATGATGTGCTTATGAGTGGCTGTCACCAATGGATGATTGGTGTCTGGCTAGGGGCTGCCATTTCTCGAGTCCACTGTTGGCTCCTTTTCATGCATCTTTGATTGTCTATTTTGTTGAGTTTGCTTTCATATCCCATTATCTGAAGTATTTTGGCTTCGGCTGTTTTTTTATCTTTGTTGTAGTTCCCTTATCTTTTTTGGAATAAAATTTGGTTTGAAAAAAAAATACAATTATATTGCTTATTAGGTTTCACATTCACATTAGAGTATCATTTATTCATAATAATTTTATTTTTTTTAGTAATTCAAATATGTATGATAAAAATATTAAGAAAATACATTAATTGTACTGATAGATAAAACTAATTCGAAAGAATTATGAATGATAGATTATTAATCTAATGTAACATGAATAGAGCTTGTCCAGAAATATTTGTTAAATAAAACACATGTATATCTATTATTCATATTTTATACTATACATTAGTGATGTATGGCTAATGATGATCATAAGAAGATTTTTCTTGTGTTATACTCTTATGATTATTAATTTTTTAATATTTAAGTTATTTATACTTAAAAAGTACATAATTTCAACTTTAAAATTAAATTAATAAACAAAAATTTCCTTAATTATCTAACACAATGTATTTTTTTATATATTTTTTCATTTAAGTCATTCTAATGTTGACAACCATTTACAAAGATGTTGTTGAACCTCTCATCCTCTAGATGCAAATCATTAAAAAAAATTGTATAAATTTTCAAAAAGAAGTTTTATTTTTTTTTTCCTACAATTAAAAATACTTTTTTTCATGATTAGTCATATTTATTAATGAATTTAAAAGTACAAATGTCAATGTCACCAATAATGCAATGAAATATTTATTATAAAAAATTTTCCAAACAAAAAAATCCCTTCAACCACAATACCAATGGGGGCCACTTAACACTTCCATTTTGCCTGGTGCCTTTGATTCAATCCTACCATCATAGTCTGTGGGGCCCACCCTCATCTCCACCATAGAATGATAAATTTATTGCCCAACTTATCAGGCAAGAAAGCAACATCACATTTTCATATTTGTCTTACTAACTTATAGTGTACTACTCAAACCAATCCAATACAATTGGTCTTATGGCCCCCACCATCATGTGCGAAATGTTCTTTGGCCTAAGATCATCTCCAACCGAACTCCATACTATTGTATACCGTCCAACATTTGCTCTATTTGAACTCCAAATAGCATGGCAAATTCTGCTATGTGAACAGTACGACGCCAATATTGACGTCGGATTGTTCACCTACGCCAAATAAATTTGCCACGGGATTTGTCGAAGAAGGACGTGAAAGAGAGAAAAGCACGCTAAAGATGATTACATTCGCAGAAAGCGTAAAAGAAGAAGAAATGTCATTAGATTGAAGAATAATGACTGCATTTTGGAGTGGAAAATGAATTTTTCGGTTGGAGTTGAAATTTGAAGTCCTCTTGATTTGATTATCTTAGTGTTGAATACTTGATTTGGATTAATTAAAGGGATTGAGTTTAATTAGATCATAAGAGAGCACCAATCATAAGCTCATCATTATATTATATATTATGATATCAAAAATTTCAACAATGAATCAAATAAAATCATATTTTTTATTGAAAGTCCAAAGAGAAAGAGTTATGGCTTTTTTGGAATCTCTTTATTTTATTTTTGCCGTATTTAAATATTTATTTAGAGTGATATTATTCATTTTTAAATGTTAAAATCAAAATAAACTATTTTTTAAAACAATTAAAATAAATTTAATAGGTTTTAAATGTTTTTAAAAATAGTTATCACCATCATTCACCTACTATTGCTCCTAACTTGCTAGTGACCGCCAACATAACATTATCAATCAACTTTCTACATATATTTTATTAGAAATCAAAATATAAAAAAAATGAATAAATAAACAAATAAAAGTGATCACAACTGCCTCTTTGATTCCTTTATCTTCATTGATGAATGGAAATTATTAATGAGAACTTTCCCATAGAAAATAAAAGTATCAAATTACGTTCATTAAGCGACATTTTTCGTGCATTCAAGCCGTTTTTTTTAATGAATTGAGTTTTAATTTTTATTCCTTTATCTCATTTATTTTGAGTTATTAAGTTTAGATACTAAATACTTTTTTCTGTTTTTGAATTTGTTTTTAAGATTGACACATGTAAAACAATAAGTCAATTTTAATCCACTTTCTATAAAAAGATTCTATACAAGTTGTTTTCTTTTGAGGAGGGATATTAGAGACTAGGGAGTCCAGTATAAATCTTGGTGTTGACATTAGGAGTCATAGTTTTGTGACGACGATGTGCATCAATTTATAGCTGATTATGCATGTCGTTATTGACGGCAATGAAGTCAAGGGTGTCATCCTTTATGGCAATGACGTACCTTGACCGTATAGTTGATTCTTTGGGTTAAAGTTGTTGGCGACATCACGTGATGTAGTTAATGAGCATCAGTGAAGTTAGGTGATAGTTGTCGAAGGACTAAGATTAAGTGATGATGGTTGGAGAACCACAGTTGAGTGATTGTGGCTAGGAGATCGTAACCAAGAGATACTGGAGGATCATAGTTGGGAGATAATATTCAACTGACTGTAGTCAAATGATGGTGGTTGGAGGACCCTAGTTTGGGGATGGTGTTTAGAAGATCATAATTGTGTAGTAATGGTGAAAGGACTTGGCTAGGCGATAATGGTCAGGGGATAGTAGTAGAGCAATGCTAGTTAGAGGATTGTAGCAAGACGATGGTGGTTATAAGAACATAGTCGAGCGATGGTGATCCTAGGTCTGTAGTTTAATGGCCATGGTTAAGTGATTGTAGTTAGACGACTCTAGTTAGTAGGCCATAGTTGAGCAATGTGGTTGAAGGACAGTAATTGGATGATAATTGTTGGAGGACTATGATCGAGCTATTATGATCGGCATGCTATAGTTAGGTAGTGCTGGTCGAAAAATCATAGAAGAGTGATATTGATTGGAGGACTATAATTGTGAGACATTGGTCAAATGATTGTAGTGGAACAATCGTGGTCAAAGGGTCGTGAATAAAAGATGTTAGTTAAAGGGTTGTAGTCAGGGGACCATGGTAGGAGAACTATAGTTGGGTGGCTGTGGATGAAGGATAATAGTCGGGTGATAGTGGTGAGAAGACTATAGTCGGGCGATAATGGAAGTTCAAAGCTAAGCGATGATTATTGGAGGATTATAGTTGGGGCGACGGTGGTCAAAGAATCATAGTCGGGCAACAATGGTCATAAACCGATGTCAAGTAATGGCAATTGGGAGATCATATTCGAGCAATGATAGCCAAAGGACTATAGTCAAGCGATGATAATATGGTTGGGCATAAATGGTTGAATAATAATAGTGACAATGAATCAATGACTATGTCCAGGCAATGGCTTGATGGAGCTTTAAGATTTTTCAGGCCTTTGAGGTCTCCTGAATCTTATTCCAAGTTTCCCTTTATGTAGAAAGTGTGATATATTCATATTTTTTTATAGTGTCATGTTCCGTAAATCTAGCCCAAAAGCACATAAGTATTCTCTTGATCATAGATCATTCTTTGGGCATTTGAGCATCTTAATTATATCAAAATTAAACGATGTTAAGCTTGTTAGATTTGTCTTTCCATAACACTCAATTTGACTATAAGAATGTAGATTTGGAGATAATTTGGACCCCAATTAAGCGACGTTAAGCTTGTTGGATTTGTCTTTCCATAAAACTCAATTTGACTATAAGAATGTAGATTTGGAGATAATTTGAACCCCAATTAAGCGATGTTAAGCTTGTTGGATTTGTCTTTCCATAACACTCAATTTGACTTTTTGCCATTTATTTATAGAAGTGAGTCAATGTTAACGGTATAAGATAAAATTGCATTAATGGACTTGATGTAATAGGTTGTGTAATAAACGGTATTTAGCTGATAGTTAGTTGTCCACTAGACAAAAAAGCTTCACACAGACCTTGCAATATGCTCATGAAAAATCTGAAAAGAAAAGCTTCAAAGACAAAACCAAGATTATAATTAAACTAACCATCATTAAGAAGTAAACAACACCATAATCTCTCTCTTACTATTATACACAGGAACCACACACATCAACATTCATGTACTAATTTGTTTCACATCACACCTCCAACAACTGTTAGCCAGCTTCTATTGAAACTGACTTATCACCAACCTTCACATTATTCTGCAACTACCACTAGTATTCTCATCACTAAAATAACTAGCGTAGGCATTTGAAGCTGGCATAGGATACCCATAAGCCATGGGATGTCCATTCATCATCATCCTTTGTTGCTGCATCATCTCTGTCATATACTGTTGCTGGTGAGGATTTACAGGTCCCCCGGCCACCGGAGTGGCCATTGGAGCGGCAGAAGCTGCCATTCCTCTGTTGTAATACCCAGCAGGAACTGCTCCAGCGGCCATCGGAATGCCCACAAGGCCACTGCTGTTCTTGCCACCGTTGCCTTGCTTATGACCGTTGTTATTGCCATCACCGTTGTTGTTGCCTTTGTTACTTCCATTCTTAGCTTCATGGGGGGTCCCTCCACCGCCATTTGTATTCCCAGTATTGCCTTTACTATGTACGTCTCCATCAAAACCTTTTTTAGCTATCACAATCCCTTTAGTTGCAGAATTCATGGCTTTCAAATCACTTTTGTAGTCATCAGTTTCATCAACAGAAACATCTGTTTCATCAAAATAGTCGTCTTCATCATCAAAACTATCATCAGATTCGTTTCCACTGTCAAAACCTTGATTAGGAGCAGAAAATTTAACGGATTTCTCGTCTTTTGTGAATGGAAGCTTCATCTTCATCAGCTCCTCCTGCAGAATCTTCATTTTCTGGTCTTTTGTTTCTGAATTATTGAAGGAGTTCTTCTGTCCTTTGGCAGCATCAATAGGCAGCTTGGGAAGATGATGATGTGATTCAATATTACTGTTCTTTTTAGCAGCCCAGATCTCAGCATGTTTCCCTGACTTTCTGAGTTTTTTAATAAGGGTGGAAGGATCAACATTTCCTGTAACAGTTACCTTCCCCTGCTCTGTATCTATTGCAATAGTATAAACCCCTGAATTTTTTAACAAATAAATTACAAAAATATAAGCAAAATAAAGTCAATAACAAATCCAAATTAGCTGAAAATTATATTAAAAAAAAATACCATCAATCTTTTGTAGCAGCTTCTTAACTTTCTTCTTACATCCTTCACAATGGATGTTCACTTTAAGGACACAAGTCTGCAGTCAGAACAAGCAGATATAGCTAAAGAATGCTTCAACAAAAGCTATAAAGCTGAATACGTAGTCTTCAAACATAGAGAAACAATATGTGAAGAAAAAATTGAAAGAAAAAGGATTAAATTTAGAAAACTCAGCCAAGAAGAAGAGATACCTTTGTCTTGAGGAAGTTCAAGTCTTCTACTTTACTGAGCTTACTCATGGCTGCAGGTCTGCAACCTCCACAGCAGAACAGATTCTCAATTTAAAAAGAACAAAATCCTAAACAGAAACTTTAGGCCATTGAAGACAGATAAGGAGACAGTATTTGGTTATTTGAGAAACAGAAAGTAGAGTCGGTGAGAACTGAGTGGATTTGGAAGAAGAAGAAGAAGCAGAAACTAATGATATAATAATGTTATGCATGTGGGGAGGAGAAAGATGCTAATGATGATAATAATATTAGCCATGTGATGAGGAGAAAGAGAAGATTTTTTTTTTCTCTCATTTTTCTTCTTAGCAATAGGCCAGGGAGCAGCAGGATATTTATTTATTTATTTGAGTAATAATAATAATAAAACAACAATAACAACATTAAGACTTTGTTCCATTATATGGGGTCGGCTACATAGAATCATTTTCTTCTATTATGTCCTCTTAAAAGTCAAATTCTCATTTAAATCTAATAAGGAAAGATCTTTTCTAATATTCTCTAACCAAGTCCTTTTAGATCTACCTTTACCTTTCTTAACATAAGTCAAACTTAATACCTCTACTTTCCTAACTGGGTCATCAGAATGCCGCCGTTTTATGTGACCAAATCATTTAAGGCAACTTTCTTTAATCTTATCTTACACTAGAGTTACACCAACCTTTTCACAAAAATGCTTATTTCGTATCATATCTATAAGAGTAAAGCCATTCATCTACCTTATCATCCTCATCTCTGCAACACTTAACTTAGTATTATTCTTCTTTTTTGCTGGCCAACATTCGGCCCCATAAAGCATTGTAGGTCTCACCACCATCATATAGAAATTTGCCTTAAGTTTGAGGGAGATTTTTCTATCACGCAATAAGCCCGATGAATTCATCCACTTTAGCCATCCAATTTAAATTATGCTGATAATATCCCCATCTTTCTCACCATGACTTTGAACAACATATCTAAGATATCTAAAATGTGTTCACTTATTAATGACTTAATCACCCAAAGTCGCAATTCTCGCATTAAATACACTTATTTTTAAATAAATTTAATGCCTACATAAAATTTACTATTTTTTTTCATAAATTTTAGAAAACTATCCTAACGGATAATATTTAATATATCAAAATTGAATAATTATCTCTTTCGGATCAGAAAAGATTTTGACTATCGTATTGAAAATTCAGTCGGATCAGAGGCTATTGAAAAATTACTACCCGTAACGATAAAAGCTGTGGGAGTCGTCGGGCGTGAGAAGTAGAGGAGGAGGAGTGGGCGGTGGGCCACCACAAACAGGAAAAAGATTGCAGACCTGCCGTAAGTAGTACAGTGGCTTAGGATTTCAATGCACCAAATCTTCTTTTTTTATTTTTATTTTTATTTTTCGTGGCAGTGAAATTGTATTTGCACGAGGGGTGAATATTTGTCATCTTTTTATTATTATTTGAAAAAAAAATTACTTCAGAATGTTCTGGTATGACTTTTAATAAGGGCAGGCTTTAAAAAAATATTAAATCTATTTTATATAAATGTAATATAAAATTTTTATTTATAGTTTTAGTATCAAATAAATTTAATATTTTTAGCCTACTATGATATTTTGATATAATTTTTAATCAATCATAAAGTATTTTAAATTCTAACTATAATTATGAAGAGTGTCACTATCAAAAAATGTAACAAGATGTACATGCTAAACATAGAGGAGGATATGGGGGTGATATATAAGAGAAGAGAAGACGTAGAGGTCCGAAGAATCCTAAAGCTTTACAATTGTTAGATCGTTGCTTTACTATATTAGAACATCATTATTCGATTACATTATGTGAACACCATTGTACAACAATCATCATCAGACTATTGTTACCAATTGTTGTTATCAAAGCAACGTCATCTGATAACTTCCGTTGGACGATCGCTTTCAAACAATGGCCACCCAGCTATCACCGACGGACCTCCTTCCCTCGACTGATGTTGCGAGACTGCTACTGCCTAACCATCAACACATTTCCTCCCCCAAATCACTATCGTTGGACCATTGTTGCCCGATTACTATCAAGAGGCCATTGCCGCTTGATCATCACAATCAGGTTGTTGCCGAACAATTGTCGACCTTGTTGCCTTTCATCGCCATCAACGTCTATGCATAAGACCACCTAAGGCTAATGCTCGTTAATAGCAATGACTACCTCCAACTTCATTGCTAGTCATCACCACCATTGTTCGCTCACACTATATCACATATAAGTTCGATGCACACTATTGAAATCAAAATAGACGAACATAATTACCATCAATATCGATGCACAACATCACTTATAAAATTGGTGTACACCATTGATGCTAGTATTGACGTCTATCAACTTTGTTGTCTGTCATCACCACCCATGTCGACACACTTGATTACATATAAAGTAGATGCATGCCGTCAATATCAACACATACACCCACCAACTTTATTGCTCGTCATTGCCAACAGCATATGCCCTCCATAATTGATACATGCCATTGTCACCAACATCAACACCCGCCAACTCCATTGACAACTATCACCACCAATTTCAATGTATGGCTTTAACTATAAGATGATACGAGTCATCGATATGAACTCTGATTTCCCACATGAACACCAATATTTAGATTGAACTTCTTGATTTTTAATTTTCTCTCCTCAAAGAAAAATAATCATACAACCTACCCCCAATTTTTACCATAGAACTCATTAACTACAGTTAAATTATTAATGTTATTACATTAGTACCTCTCCTAACTACAAAGAACTAAGAATATTATTTACCAATGACATACATTTAAACTGAGCTAAATCTAATAATTTTTCATGTTAAAATATTTGCATCTCTGGTAAATCTTCTTTTATTTAATTGTTCGTTAAATACTATATTTAAGGTCAATAATTTTATATATAGTAAACAATAAAAAACATTTTTATCTTTTCTTCCTCTTTCCATTTCTTTCTATCAAATAAGCAGCCGCTGTCTCCTTATCTGTGTTCAATGGCTACGTCTGTTGAAGATTTTGTTCTTTTCAATTAGAGAATTTGTTCTGCTGTGGAAGTTGCAGATATGCTATACTCAATAAAGTAGAAGATATGAACTTCTCAAGATGAAAGTATATATCCCTCTTTTTTAAACTTTTGTTTAAAATTTCTTCACATATTATTTTTCTCTGTATGAAGAACTGAATCTTACATAGTTTTTATAACTTCAGCTGTTTCTATTTGTTCAGTGTGCAGACTTGTGTTCTTAAAGTGAACATCCACGGTGAAACATGTAAAAAGAAAGCTAAGATTTTGCTTTGAAAGATTGATGATATTAGTTTTCTTGTAACTCTACTAATTCTAATATATTTTTACCTTTCGATTCAGAGCAGGAGAAGGTAACTGTTACCGGAAACTTTGATTCTTCCATCCTTATTAAAAAGCTCAGAAAGCCATGAAGAAATTGATGGCGCTATAGGAGTGAATTGAAAGCCATGAATTCTGCAGCCAAAGGGATTGTGACATCTAAAAAAGCTTTTGGTGGTGAAGTGCACTGTAAAGGTAATAGTGCGAGTAAAAATGGTGGTGGAGGGACCCATGAAGCTAACAATGGAAGTAACAAAGGCAACAACTAATGGTGATGGCAATAACAAATGGTCATAGGCAAGGCAATGATTGGAAGAACAGCCCGCCGGAGCGGCAGGTCCAGTGGCCGGAGGTTCTGCTAATCCTTATCACCAACAGTACTGTATTCTGAGATGCTGCAGCAACAAAGGATGAGGATGAACGGATGTTTCATGGCTGAAGGGTATCCTATGCCAGCTTCAAATTCTTATTCTCGTTATTTTAGTGTTGAGAAAACTAATGGTGGTTGCAGAATAATGTGAAGGTTGGTGGAGGGTCAGTTTCAATAGAAGCTGGCTAATAGCTGTTGGTGTGGAGTGCTTGTCCTTTTCCCTTTGGATAAAAATATGATGGTTAAGTGAAACATTAATTTCCTTATAATATTTGAATATTAGGTATTATTGCTACATTTTCTCTCTATTGTAGACACTTTGTAATTTTCGATCAAAATTTTCTGGTTCGAAGAGAATTTGTCGGCATGATGGCAAGGAGGATTACATAAGGACAATGAGATTTGGTTTATAAAAAAATAGAAATTTCTATATGTACTTATTGTTGAACTCAAATTTGGCCATGAGCGATACTCGAACCTTAATTATTCGCAAGATTGATTATGCAAAGTAGAGAACGAAAATGAAGACAATGAGAAAGAAGGAAGACGAGGAAAGAAGATAACTCTTTGGCTTTTTATTGCCAAAAAGTAGGGAGCTTGAGAGGCTTGCCCTTTGAACCTCTATTTATACTTGGGAATAGAGAAAATGCTATATAAAAAAATTACATTTAAAGGTAAATACATTAATTATATAATATGACCTATTAAAATATTACTAAAAAGAGAAGATATGCTTATTATATCTCTTTAATTATGTGAGATACTCATTAAGATTTTCCAGATATAAGATCCCACATGCTCCAACTAATTGTTCTGATATGATTTAATTGAATTGTGAGATCAACTTCTTTTAGCCAGTCGAGTTGACTCGAGCTTAGCATGAGCGATTTAGATCATATACTTAGTTCCTCAATTTTAATGTATCTTTTGCGAACCCTAAACGAACATATGAATTAATATCTCAAAAATAATTTGCTAGGATTAATATCTAAAAATGTGTTGGATAGAAATTGTTCAAGAATTTGCTGAATAAAAGAAGTTTGAAAGGCTTCCAACTTGAGAAAAATTTAAGTATTACTTGACCTTTTATTATTTATTTATTTTAACTAAATTGAGGCTTAAGATGGGCCTCTCCTTCAAGAGAATTTTATTTTCATAGAGGTAGCAATCTAGATATACTCTCACTATTCAATGTGAATCTTGTCACAAAAGAAGGGGGAGTCAAAAGTTCTAGGGTTTGATTTTATTTCTAGAATATAATTAAAGATTTAGTCTAATATATGAAAGTTATATGATATTATTTATTAAATCTCCTTAGATATATATGATTTTACCTTTGGGGTAGGATAAGGGAGAAGTGATTCTGGTATGCTATGTAATTCATCGTGCTCATCATTTATGATCTCTTGAGTGTTTTCTTCTTCTTCATGCAGAAAATGGGTAGCTGGAAGGTTGGACTTTCGTTCATCAAAGACGGATTGGGATCAACAAATCCTATCATTCTTAGAGTGAAATACAATAGGTGATTTTATTAAGTGTGAATTGTTCGTCTACTTGGGGGCCTTACAGCTCTTACAAGTTTTGG